CTCTCTCTCTCTCTCCTTACTGCTGCACGGATATTGATGTCTGAAACTGTGCCACCCTTGATCCTTTTTTTAGATTCAATATGACCGGATCCTCCTTGTACTTCTTCTTATTCAAAAGTACACAGATTGGCATTTTGAAAAGGACATGTAAAGGTCATTTGTTTTCTATTCAGAACTGTGTGGCCCTACATTACTTGAGATGCGTTACATTTTCCCAGTGTGTCTCATCTCCTATTGCAGTGTCTTGAACTGTTCGCTGTTGTATCTTATCAGGGTCCTGAAGTCTGTCATCGAACCCAAAAAAGTCTGATGTTTGACATTTTCAGAGAGAGGAACTTTATCCTTATAGAGTGCATGGAGTCAAGCCAGATGCCCCTTTACTTCTCTCTCTCCTCTGCCATTGCGGTACTGGCTGCACTTATTTTCAGATATAATTAAATCCCACAATCCTTGGCTCCTTATTCTCAAAACATTTTCTGAACTAGCATGTGATGTCAGTGTATGGTGTATATATGATCAAATATAATCTCACCTAGCAAAACTACCATCTCATCAAGCACATTATCCTGCAAACCTATACGAATTACACTATTCACATTTATTTCTAGCCAAATAATCAAGATGCTGTAGCTGAAGGCTGGCCATTTCAAAGGCCATGTCAGCATATCCAAAGTCTTGTTGTGCTAATCACTTGTGTAGTTGGAGTTTTAAGTTACCTGCTTTGTGGGATGTCAGTCAAAAATAAGGAATTTGCTTCTGTTGATGTTTTTGTCAATTTTAGGTTTACTCTCTATGCAGTGGATAGTCGTGGCAGCCACTCTGAGTCAAGCTTTGTCTCAGTACGGACATCTTGTCCAATGGTGGATGACAGCCGAGCTGAAGGTACTCTCACCTCTGACTTTGTTCTACTATGTCTTCTGATACTTCTAACACCCAACACAAAATACCAGTTTTCATAAAGGTGTACTTCATGAACAGTGTTCATATATAGCTAAAATGTCTACTGCTTTAAACATTTACATGTACATTTTTGGCATTGAACCATTTCGGCAAACTTAATTATGCTGTTTTTTTCCTAATAAATAAAAACATAAATACATTAGTCATCACTTAGTATCAGGTTTTATCTAAACTTATAAAGTAAAAAAGTTAGGACAAAACATTAAAGGAAGGAAGGAGGTCATGATCCAGATACAGTTCTCTTTGATCAAAAGTCTTTACTACTTTCAATGTGCACAAGCTTGATTGGTTATTAAAGCAAGCTGTGGCTAAATCTTAAGGGGCACTTCACAAATTTCACATGTCATATTCTATTTACTAATCATGAGGAGTTTGCCAGGCAGTGAAGGTCCAACAAAAGACTGTCAACATGCATTATTCGAAGTCTACGATCCAGTGTATTTGATGCCTGTCTTATATTAGGGTCTCAAAATCAGGATATCTCAGCCTCTGCCGCATTGATTTTCACCATCTGTCTCTCGCAAGTCCCCCAACCTAATTGAAGTGTAATACCAAATTCTATAAAATGTAATACCAGTTCTCTATCAGATTGTTGTCACATGCTTTTATCTGCTCATTTTCAATCATGTTAAATCCCTTCTTCTGCCACACTACCTCTGTCTGATTTTTCTGTCTATTTCTTACCTCCTCACAGAGATAGCAGACAAGGTGTACAACTTGTATAATGGCTACACCAGTGGCAAGGAGCAGCAGATGGCCTACAACACACTGATGGAGATCCCTCCTCCGCTGCTCTATAGGGTCCAGCACCACTACAATTCCCACTATGAGAAGTTTGGAGACTTTGTCTGGCGCAGTGAGGATGAGCTGGGCCCCAGGTGAGATGATGTAGACAATAGGACAGTTTTTATCCTGCAGCTTTAGAGGATGTTTCAAATCCTTCCAATTTTACACTTGGTTGTCGAAGAATTTTTATGTATAACAGTTGTTTTCTTGTCTAGAAATGTCCCTTTCTTTTCCAGTCTGCCACTATTTATCCAAGTATCCTTGTCATTTCGTCTGATGACGTTGTTGTGTTGTTTAGGATCAATTACAGTCATCCTGAGGTTTCTTACATAACAAAAGCCAAAGCTGTCTGAACTGGTGCTGCCAGATTCAGACCATTGAGCCATTTCTCATGGCATTGTCTGCACCCCCTCTAAGCAGGAGTTCCATTGCACAATCCCCCCCCCCCCTTTCTCTCCAAAGTGCCTCTACTGGAAAGCAAGTGGGCAAGGTCACCGTGAAAACTCTGGGGTAACAGTTGCTCCTCACATTACCATGGTGATGCCAAAACAGTGTTTGACAGCCAAGACAAACACTAAATTTGATAGTCAGCTAACACTAACTCAACTTCCAACTCCATTTCCTCTTCATTCCCATTTAAAAAAAGTTTCTCCATGTCCACAACATGCCATCCTGACATCCCCTCACCCATGACCCTCTTAACAAGGACTGAACAGACACTGAGATATTGCAAGCACAAGGCATCTTCACTGACTAACAGAAATGCTAGGAAGAATGTATAAACAATACTTCAAAAAAAAAAGTATAGAACAAAAACATTCACGAGTCTGACAAGGCAGTTGGTCCAGCACTGATGATAGCAACACGAGATAGTTCCAAGCGGAGGCGAAGGGCATTCAACGGCACTATGTACGCCGTGGGGGGAGAGGCAGACATCCTGACAGTGAGAGCGGGCCGCAAGCTGAACACGGGCCACTGCGGACAAGTCCTAGAAACTAGGTCTCGCGCTTGATGGACCAACGTGACAAAGAGGTCAGTGACCTGGCGTGTCTGTCTCGTGGAGACTGGAGCGAAGGCATTGGAAGCAAGCACTGACATGCTAGTGGGCGGCACCCACCAAAAACAAGACACAAGGTACAGGTACCCCCAAAGGCGCCGCGCGCACCCTAAAAACAACTAACGGGGCAGCACCTGCACGCATCAGAACACACACTCAGATCACGCCTGCCTTGCGGGGGGCGCGACGAGAAAGGCATGGAGCGGAGCGGAGGAGGAGCAGGACGGAGAGAGAGGGGGGGAAGGGGGTAGGGAGAACGCAACAGAACACCAACGCACGGGATGTCCGCGGCCTGTCAGCCCTTCCCCCTCACTTGGCCATGTTGCTGTGTCTGCATGAAAGAGCAGCCGCTGGGTAAAACGGCTAACGCCAGACAACGCGGCAAGATTGCCAACAGCTGTTGCTCCCTACTGGAATGGGACCGCCAGTCGAAGGTCAACACACTATAAGAACCAAAGTGCATTCATCTTGGGATTGCTACTACTCGAATAACTGTTGAAGCACATCACACGAGACGGGCCACGCTGCTGACTGCGAAGAACACCCCAAATACTTCGTGGGTCACTTTCCCAGGATCGCAGAGTCCTGGGAGAGCAACGCGTTTATCCGACACCTCAGGAAGGACCATAATAATAGTCACGCCAGCGTCAGGCTTGGTGAATTCAGAAAAGATGCCTCCACAATACCACCAAAAATTCCAACCAGAACATACCCATACACAAATACGCAACCTCACAGGTGGTAAACCTACCCATTGGAACTATTAAAGCCGAAAAACACACGGCAGAGAAGGGCACAAACTTCGCAGTTGTTTCTGAAAACGGCAACGTGTCGCTGAGCACCAACCATCCGTCTTTAGTTAAGCCAAAGGAGTCACGAGAACCATCCATCTTTCGAGCTCTCAGTTGCTGAAAAAAAAGGGGGCGGCGGTCCCTTCGTTCCCGATTTCCGCCGTTCCAAAATTCTAGCTGAAGACAACAGAAGGTCACCGCAAACACCCCAATAATCACGCGGAGGCTCGACGGCATGTTCGAGCCGGACGGCAGGACAAATTAAACTACATTACGACTCCCATTCATGGATGACAACAAAAAGTAACAAAGGAAGGAAAAAAACCACGTTCCCATATTAACCGTTCCACCAAAATCTTCCGGCGTGGTAGGCCAAGCGCCGAACGCCTATGTCAAAGATTGTCATTGAGTTAGGCAACGAAACGAACGCTGAAGTGAGTGAGACCCCAGACCAGTTTCAAGTGAAAGCACGCCGCAGAAAAAACTAAAGACCAGACAACCGCGAAATGCAGCGGCGAACAGGACTGACCGTGCGGGAAGATAGGAGAAGTACGCCCCGGCAGTAAACAAATAATAGTCTGGTATTTACAGTAAAAGGCGTGAAAAGAGCCAGTAAACCCCAGTAATCAGCAGCAGTCCAGCAGAACACGAGATTATTGCAACAAAGGAAGGCTCAGTGTGTGCAGTTGGACAGCAAAGGCTGGCGGAATATGATGGGGGGGCCCTCCTGGATTCTGCCCCTCCTGGGGCGGCGAAGTTGCGACTTGGCCTTACGTTCCACCTTGGGCCGCATGTTCTGTTACCCCTTTTAAAAAGCCCCACCCACCAAAGTAGAGCGCTGCTTGTAAATGTACCCAATGCGCGGCTGCACCCCTGCCGACTTCAGGCCCAGAAGGTAACCGGGCTCGGGCTCCAATCCCAACAGCCACCCCCAACCGCCCGCCCAACCCCAACAGCCAAGCACAGCACACTCACTCCACCAGGCTCCCACACACAAAGCACACCCATCCGACCACAACCCAAGTCCGCAATGGGCCCCAACCCGTCTCCGCACCCCCCCCCTTCACCAACAGAGACCGCAAGCATGAACCTTCCCGCTACCAGACCAAAGTTATTCCCCACAAATACTGTATATAATCTATGGCTGAAACGAGTGTTCCGCCAGCCAAGTGGGGGGTGACGAAAGCAAAAAATTGGGGGCGTAAACTTAGAGCATCTGG